TCTCTCTCTCATCCATTTTAACGTCGTTTTTTACGTCGAAGTCCAAGTAACGGGTGACGGGAATAATAACGGCATATACAAAAGTCAAGTTTTCGAGGCCGACCGGATTAGATTCTCGTGTGCGTATCTTGTCTTGGCCTATCATTTTTCTTTTGTCCTTTTCGAAAGTTTGATCGGCATTAATTGACTGATTCACAGTGAGAGTATTTAATATATACACATTCATACAGTGAGAGAGAGAGAGAGAGAGAGAGAGAGAGAGAGAGAGAGAGAGAGAGAGAGAGAGAGAGAGAGAGAGAGAGAAAGAGATAAATGTATATATACATTTATATATGTACATTTATTTCTATCTAATTGTGTGTGTCTCTTTCTGTGTGTGTATATACATACATACATATATATATATATATATATATATATATATATATATATATATATATATATATATATATAGACAGATAGAAAGTGTATGTGTGAGATAGAGAGAGATGATAAATAAAATTGATTTTTGATATTTAATAATTTAATTAATTATACCAATCTGTATTTTATATCCTATCCAGAAGTAACATAATTAAGTTGGAAAGTGAGAGAGATAAAGATAAAAATAAAAATAAAAATAGAGAGATAGAGAGAGGATTAAAATAAAATTAAAAAAGAGAAAAAAAAGAAGAAAAGGAAAAAGAAAAAACCAGAATAGATTGCTCCGATATTTGACATTTTTATTAATTATACCAAGGTGTGTCTTCTAATCGTATACAAGATAACGAAATCGTTTTAGTAATGCAATAAACGAGAGTTGCATTCCAATGCACATTTCTCGGTAAAAGCGAAAATATCATCCAACAATTCGATTCCGTGCAAACGGAATGTCGCATTGGCGAGAGAGAAAGAAAGAGAGAGAGAAAAAAAGAAAGAGAGATGGTGAAGAAGAAAGAGAAGAAGAAGAAGGAGGAGGAGGAGGAGGAGGAGAAGAAGAAGAAGAGGGGGAAGATGGAAGAATGGTAGACCGCGGTGCAGTTTACTCGCTTCGTTGCGCGTGTAAATACGGTTAATGGGAGAACCGTAACACGGTTTACATGGGGCCGCCCGTTATATATTCACGTACGCGCTTTCATCCGCGATTGCGATCGCTCGCGAAAGTTTTTTTTTTCCTTCTTCTTTTTTTCTTTTTCCATCTTTTTTCTCCCCCTTTTTCTTTTTTTTTTTTGTTTCAACTAGTACATATTATCTTGTATGTAACTATTTTGTATATCTATGCGATCGTTTGATAAACCGATATTATGACGTTCAGAATTGAATTGTATTGAGAAAATAAATAATTATTAAAGGAAAAAAAAAAAAAAAAAAAATAAAGAAAAAGAAAAAGAAATAAAGAAGGAAAAGCCATTGTGTGTCCAACATGGAAATTATTTTAATTGAAAACGTATATATATTTTTAATCAACAAAAACAATAAATAAATAAATATATATATATATATATATATATATTATATCTAAGTACAATAAATTTTTTTTGCAATAAATCGATAGAATCTTATAGTGAATTATAATATATAATTATATATATATATATATATATATATATATATATATATATATATATATATATATAATTATATATGCATGCATAATTAATCAATGAAATTAGAATCGTGGTAGATGATATGGAATGATCGATTTTGATAATTACTACTTGTATATATACATGCATAAATATGTACAATATTTGTATGTATTTACGCTCGATCAATTTCGATAATTCAAAGACCAAGGCAAGTATAATAGGGATAGATATACTTGTGTCATCTAATGACATAAAATCGTTTGGATGATTTCTCGAGGGTGTACGTGACATCCCTTCGTTCCATGGAATTACTATTCTTGAATGAACGTTCACAAGAAGATGTAAGAGAAAGAAAGAAAGAAAGAGGGAGAGAGTGAGAGATAGAAAGAAGTCGAATAAATTCTTAAATTCCATTTTCTCTCTCTCTCTCTCTCTCTCTCCCTCTCTCTTGCTCTCCCTCTCTCTATTTTCGAACACAATTCCATAAAAGTAAAAAGAAATGAACGAACGATTTGCGATGTTTCCTTCTTTTTCTTTTATCATTCTCTCTCTCTCTTTCTCTATCTATCTATCTATCTATCTATCTATCTATCTATCTATCTATCTATCTATCTATCTATCTATCCCTTTCTTTCTCTCTCTCTCTCTCTCTCTCTCTCTCTCTCTCTCTCTTTCTCTTTGTCTTTCTCTATTTCTCGTTCCATCTCTTTCATTCTTCGTCCTCCTTTGGAAATCTCTTCACGCTCGTCGTATCTTCACCGTTAGATTTATTCAAACGAGCGAATCTCTCTAGCGAGTGATTTCAAATGCCAGGTCCCAACGTCTTCCCACGTTATTCCCTCGTAGTTCACTCTTTCTGTTCTTACCGACAATTCAGATTTTTCTTCTTTTCCTTTCTTTCTTTCTTTCCTTCTTTCATTTTCTTTCTTTTTATTTATTTTTTTTTTCTTTTTTTTTTCTCCCCCTCTCCCCTTCATGCGATCTTCTTACTCTCTTCTTCCTCCCTTGCTACGGCATCTTTCATTTCTTTTCTTTTCCAATGTCGTCCTCCTCCTACCCTTCTATTTCTTTCGCAATTCTTCAAGCGGATCACGTACGTCACAAATGTGAATTGCCACGGTAAATCGTAACTCGTAAATGTCGATTCCCTTCTTCGTCTCTTCATCCCCAATATGTCGATCTTTGAACGAATGAAATAAATCGTCGCCATTTTGTCGATATCGATTGTCGAATTAATTATAACTTATAACATTTTTGCTTATTATAATATGTATATATACATATATATGTGTGTGTGTGTATATGTATGTTCCTCGTGTTTGCATAATTTCTCGTATAAACTTTATTATATATTGCCTAGTTTTTCATTTGTTTTCTCTCTCTCTCTCTCTCTCTCTCTCTCTCTCTTTTTGTTATTTTTTTCTTTTTATTATTTAATTACTTTTTCCCTTTTTTTTTTTATCTCGTCCGAGATTAAATAATACCCCGGTCTTTTTTTCTTTTTTTCTTTTTTTTAAATCGATTCTCATTTTGTCTGTATCACAAAAAAAAAAAGTAATCATAACGTCGCGTTGATATTTTTTAACGAGTCCAGTGTTTAAATGTTCGGTAGAAACGAAGAAGAAAAAAAGAAAGAATGAAAGAAAGAAAGAAAGAAAAGGGGAAACGCGTCTCGACAGAAAAAGAGAATTTTTGGCTATTTTGGACTTGAAACGTTCCCCTCCTCATCTTCTTCCCTCTCTCTCTCTCTTTCTCTCTTTCACTTCCTCTCCCCACTATCCTCTACAGTCTAACAACATTCAGTAAGAATTCCTCTTCGTCTGGCCAATTCAAAATGCTTTATTTTGGCGGTTGGCAGAAAGTTGGCAAGAACCATCCGGTTGATCGACCAACCGGCATTGAACACGTACGATAAAAGAGTATCTACGAGTAAATCGTATCTATCTATCGTCATCGTCGTTGTCGTCGTTGTTGTCCTCGTCGTTGTCGTTGTCGTCGTTGTCGTCGTATCGTTGGATAGATACCGGTCGATCAACGATGCGGAATAAAGAGGAGTCTATCTAGAGCGGACTATGAAAGCCATCGAAGTCTTTGCGTTTTACACAAGTTTGATATTTTCAACTACTTTCTTCTCGATCCATTTTCCTTACTTCTTCATATTTCCTTCAATTTCATATAATAAAATGAACGTGGAAAATTTTTATATACGTTATGTACATACGTATATATATATATATATATATATATATATATATATATATATATATATATATATATATTTATACAGTAGAGTATAGTGTATGTATATATATATATAGCAGGGATTAATTAAAAAAGCGTTTACGCTATAATCTTCTATAATGTGTAAATTATATGCTTGTACTTTTTTTTTTTTTTTTTTTTTGTATACTTATAAGTATTCTGAGAAAAAAGAAATTTTTGAGATTAAAATATTCTGAGAAAAAAATAGAAAAATTATACAAGTATAATTTTAGTAGTGCAATATATTATTTTCTTTTCTTTTTTTTTTCTTTTTTTCTTTTTTTCTTTTTTATCGACACGGATAAAATATTTTTTACCCGATAAGGATTAATAATCATTAGTGAAGTACGAAACTCTTGATTTCCTCGAAACAGTTCATGACGCCATAGTTTTTTTTTGTTTTGTTTATTTTTCATTTCCTTTTTTTTTTCCTCTTTATTTTCAATGCTGCGTGGTTCATTCTTGGAATAAAAGAGCATACCTGAATGAATTCGTAACAGGCATTCTCTCTGTGTAACTCGATAGTAGTTCACGTTACACACTTGTCTTCTAAATTGATATATGTATTTGAGATGGATCTAAAAAAAAAAAAAAAAAAAAAAAAAAAAATCAACGATTTCGTCGAATCTGATCAATTTATTCGTTATAAATAATATAATTTCGTAGCGCAATAACGTTGAGTGAAATATTAAAAAATTAGTAACATTTTTATATCGCAACAAAAAAATAATATATATATATATATATAACTATTAATTTTCATCGAAATTATTTTTGCGTATCGTTTATTATAAAAAGTAAAATTAATTAAAGTACCGTTTCGTGTTTCAACGAACACGAAACGGATTATTTGATGACAGAAATTATTTCTCATTAATTTATCGTTATCTTATTTAGAATTTAATTCGACGAACATATGTACGTACGTTTCGTTAAGGAGGTACGCTTTCCGAGTTCGTTTACATCCATGTTGACGGAAAAGATCGAAGGTATTCGAAATATCAATCGCGTTCGGGTGCCCTCGCTTACGAGATAAGTACATGTGTATATATATATATATATATCTATACGTGATAGAAGTATAGTATGTAGGTAAGGTACGTTCGGCTGGGGTCTCTTCGGGCATCTTCGTTAAGCTTCGGGAATACTCGGTGAGTCTCGTTTGGTCTC